CCCCACCTACAGTGCGGATCAAGCAACTCGTACCGGAAACTCTCCTCCCCTCTCCCCCCCCCACCATTCCTAGCATTGCTTCTTCTTTTTCTTCTTGTTCCCCTTCTTGGCCCCCACAGCCACGTCCATGCTGACATCCATAATAGCCTGAAACTTCGCCTTCTTTGCAAACACCGAGGCCCTGCTGCCTTCCATGTCCTCCTCCTCCTCCTCCTCCTCCTCGTCCTCGTCCTCGTCCTCCTCGCCGCCTCCTTTGCGTTCATCTGTCCTCCTCCTTGAGGTTGGTTGCTCCCCTTTCCCTTCCCGCCCCCTTGCCATCGGTCTTCCTGCCACACTCCTGCTGCCGCCGCTGTGCGGCTTACTCCATATTGATGATCTACTGCCACCTCCGCCAAACTGCGGGCGTGCGTCGGCGCTTCCAGAGGCAAAGGAATCACCAACTCCTCTTCCTACATTCAGCTTATCCCTCAGCCGACGCTCAACAGAGAGCATCGATGCGGCAACGTGTGAATGAGGAAGGAACTTCGCGCCCAGCCCGAGTCTGGCCGGCCGTGCCTCCGGATTCCAGGGGACTGCTTCGTCCTCTTCCCCCTCCTCCTCCTCTCTCCCCTGCGCGCCGGCATTTCTTGATCCTCCCAACCGCAGCCAACCTTCAACCAATCTCTGCGCTTCTCCGGAGGGTTCCACCTCAACCCTCTTTCCCGATCCTTTGCCGGCTGGCCCACTCTCTACACCCCTTTTTTCCGCACGAAGAATCGGATCTGTGTTTGGATTTCTCCTTCCACCGATTAACTGCCTAAAACGCTGCTCGCTGGCGTCAGCCATTGTGGATGCACATGGGTTCCCAGGCTCGCTTACATGCAGGGAAACGACGCTGGCGTCAGCCTGCAGGGATGTGAGTGGCGCCCCTTCCTGGAATCGCAAACGAAGACAAAGGGAAAGTAAGGAGTGTGAACCGAGCCTCGCTTCCCCCTTCTCTATTGCACCTACCGCTGCTGTGTGGGACAATAATAAGAAAACAGAAAAGCGGACACCAAGGAAGAGCGGGGACGAGCGGAGGGGTTGGGCGGAGGGGTTGGGTGGAGGGGTTCGGCGGAGGGGTGTTGGAATCGCAAACGAAGACAAAGGGAAAGTAAGGAGTGTTGACTGAGCCTCGCTTCCCCCTTCTCTATAATTGCAGCTACTGCTGCTGTGTGGGACAATAAGAAAACAGAAAAGCGGACACCAAGGAAGAGCGGGGACAAGGGGAGGGGTTGGGCGGAGGGGTGTTGGAATCGCAAACGAAGACGAAGGGAAAGGAAGGAGTGTTGACTGAGCCTCGCTACCCCCTTCTCTATTGCAGCTACTGCTGTGTGCGGATCGGATAAGAAGAAAACGGAAAGGTGGACAGAAAGGAAAAGGGTCGGGAGTGTGGAGGTCGGTGGGGGAAGGGGGGTGGGGGCAGGGTGGATGGGGGAGAGGGCGCGAGGGGGTAGATATCACTTTATACTAAGTTTATACAAATTGCTGTCAATGCCTCTGTAAGAATGTACTCTGCACCTGGACTAGATGTGCAGAAGGTGACCAGGTGATGACGAATGCTCTGCACGTGGTCAAGCAAATGACCAGCCATGCGGGCACTTGCTGAAAGAGACATTGCTACATTTCTTCTCGCCAAATAGAACACACGGTCATCATTCCAAATTCAATTTAAGTATTTAGCGCAACTTTCAGTCTAGATACAGCAAGAACGAGTATTTCTGAAGTTTTCTACGTAATTTTCTGAGTAATGGGACGCTGGGCCCGGTTCCCAGTTAATGCCAATTTTTTTTATTTTTATTTATTTATTATTATTATTATTTTTTTTTAGTGCCAATTTATGAGGATATGGTTGTATCTATGGGACGCTGGACCCGGTTTCCAGCAGGCGCTGCTCCCCACCAATAGATGGAGCTCCTTTCYAAAAAAAAAAAAAAAAAAAAAAAAAAAAGAACGACTGTACGTTCTGTTCGGGGAAAGACGGTAGCTCCAACGGCTCTCAACTTTGTCTTGATGTTTTCCAAATCCGCCGCCAGAATGCACCTGGACATGAGGATGATCAGGTGCATGTGCTGCACCAGGGTATGCACTCATCAAGGTGACCTCTGGCACATCCAGTAGTGCAACCAAGACAAAAGTCCACAGCCAGCAGAGTAGGGAAATTTGCTCTAATGCCTCTCCCTATAACTTGGCCTTCTCTCTCAAAGATCAGCATTCCGGAGGGTATATTTAAAATTTCCTCACACATCCATCATCCAGGTAACAGATCGTGGGTTCAAATCCCGGATCCCGATCAATATAACGATGCAAAAATAAGAAAAAAAGAAGGGAAATTTCAAAATTTTCGAAATGCCCTCATGCCCCTGGGCCCTCTGAAGTTTCCTTCATGCCTCTGTCAGTGAGGGGTGCAACTTTCCAGCATGCCCCTGTGGCCATTAGTGGCACTTGAGGCCGTTCCCCTGGTTAGGTGTTAGCCTGCCAAGCCGTTGGTTGTGTGTTCGAGTCTTGTATTCGGATTACACGTTCCCCTGGCCCTGGCAGGGGAGCTGCCGGGGCATACTCGAAATTTGGAACCGGTACCGGTAAGGACATATTGAAAATATTTCAGGCCCAAACGACACCAGGGATTTTTTGGAAACTTCGATCGTTTCAGCGGGCACGACAGGGTAAGTCGGCCGTCGGAGGGACATACCGCAAATAAATGGAAGTCAGAGGGGCATTTCAAAAAATTTCCCGAAAAACAAAGATCAGGATGTATGATAGAGTGGAGGGTATATTTGGAACTTCCCCACTATGATGACAGAGTGGAGCCGCTCCCTCTTGCGTCACACGGGACTCTCGTTTTTTTCTGTTTTCGTTCTTTTGCATCGTCATATTGATCAGGCTCCGGAGGACTTCGAACCCATGACATGTCTTCTAACAGTTACATCATGGGTGTATGTAGTTCATACCATTCAGCCACAATGCCCCTGGAACACAAATACACATGGGGCATGATGTAGTTTTAAAAAATATAGAAGAAAAAAAAAACACGCTTCAGCCAAATAGTTCTCCCCCCTGTGTGATCGGCGTGGATATTTATTTTCTTCTTCTTCTTCTTCTTCTTCTTCATTTTAGCTGTTGGCCACGGCATTTCTACGACTCGGTCATCCACATTTGGCCAGCCAAAAAATGCTCATGGCATGATATCAGTCAGTTTACAGGATCTGTCAGATCTGCAACAACCTGACATGGGGGATCTATTGAATTAAAAAAAAAAGAAAAAGGTCCCGCTTTGCTGTGTCGCTTGACTAACCCCATACCTCACTTTTCTTTGCGAGACCTTTTTTTTTTTTTTTTTTCAATTCAATGCGCGAACATATTGGTTATGAGCAGCAAACTGCCGGAAAGCCAATCCAGTTCACTGTACCAGCCTCCTAATCCATCCCGTGGCCGAGATCATGGCTGGCCGGTGGAATGAAGGGCTTGGAAGACCATGGCTGATCCCACGCTGCCTGATCTCTATAGCTGATTCTTATAGGTCATCTCTATAGATGATCTCTATAGCTGATCTCTGTCCGGTAGCTGATCTCTGTCCAGTAGCTGGTCCCTAAAGCTGATCCCCGTGTCTGATCCCACCCTGGCTGATCCCCATAGCTGATCCCTATCTTATAGCTGATTGCCGTACCTGGTCCGATGGCTGTAGCTGATCCCATGGCTGATTGCCGTAGCTGATCCATTATAGCTGATCCCATGGTGACTGATCCTATGGCTGATCGCCATAGCTAGTCATATTTGTGGGTCAACCATGACGCAATCAGCGACGGGGATCAGCCACTATGGGATCAGCCAGGGGATCAGCTGCCATGGCATCAGCTACGGGGGTCAGCCATGGGACCAGGCAGGGTGGTATCAGCTATGGGGATCAGCCAGAAAGGGATCAGTCATGGGTCCAGAACGTGTGTTGGAACATAGAACGACATCCGTACCATTCCATGCATACGCATTAACGGAGCAGACTTTTTTTTTTTTTTTTTTTTTTTTTTTCGGAATTCCCGCGCCGTTCTGTTAGCAGGAGTGATGTGAGCATCAGAGCATCTCCCGCTAGCAGATTCGGTCCCAGTCGGATCTTTCCTCAGCTTCCCATTTGCCACCATGACCCTCATATGTGCACACACACACACACACACACACACACACACAAAGAAAAAATGAAAAAAATCAGTTCTATGTCCGTCTTCCCTCTGATCTTTTATAAGTATTTTTTGTGTGCCCAACTGAGCACCCTTAAGTAGTGCCAAACAGTCAGTGGTGTCAGTCTTCCTCCTGTTGACCATCTTCCCTCTGATCTTTTCCAAGTATTTTTTGTGTGCCCAACTGAGCACCCTCAAGTAGTGCCAAACAGTCGGTGGTTCCTCGTTTCGAGTGCGTACTGCACTCTTAGGGGGGCCGCTCGGTTCAGGATGTCTGCGTTGCCTGTGAGTGATGACGGATGGTCGTCGGAGTGTCTCCCTGGCTCAGTGGGTACAGTCTGCGGGGTTCAATCGTGATGTAAGCCATGTGGCGCTTTGCTCCGTGTTGGATGTGTGGACTGCCTTGTCTGAGCTCCGTCGCTGCCTTGCTGCCTGTCCCGCTTGCTTCGCATGTGGTTCTCTGCAAGTTGATGTGCTTGCTGTGTGGTGTGGCTGCGTTGTTGGTGTAGCCTTGTGCTTCGCTGCTCCGCTGCCTTGCTGCCCATCCACTGCTTGTGCCTTCCGTGGTTGCTGCTTGTGTGCCTGGTAGGTTGGTTGCCTTGTTGCTGTTGCCTTGTGCCTCGCTGCACGGTTGCTGAGCTGCTGGTCCGCTTGCCCTGTCGTCTCTTGCAGTGTGGCTGCTTTGCTTGTGTTGCGTTGTGCTTCACTACACGGTTGCTGTGCTGTTCATCCGTCATCCGCTTGCTGTTTTGTTCCTTGTGGTCGTTTTTGGCGTTGTGCAGCCGTGTTGCCTCTATTGCATTGCCTGGTGCTCCGCAGGGTTGCTGCCCGCTGCTATGTTCCGCTTGGGAACTGGGGACAGTCTGCCTTTAACAAGGGTCAAAGGGTTCGTGACCCAAACCATCAAACACGGAGATTCCACAGATTGTCAAGGGTGCAGCCTCATGATGAGTCGGTGCAACTCCGATGAAACAATCGATCATCAGTTTTATTTTTTTCGCTTTGTCTTTTTTGGGTCTTTCTCTTTTTTTGTTTGTTTGTTCTGTTTGTTCTTCTTTGGCTTGCCTTTTAATTGGCTGGGTTTGTGTCATTTGTTTGCCCACCCGCCTGCCCTGTGCCCTCCACCCTGCGTCCTTTGTTGCAGCTTGTTGTGGTTGTCTTGTGTGCCCTCGACCTTTCAGGCTTGGGATTGTATGTTTTTTCTGTCATCCGTATGTCCAGTGGACTCACAGTGCTACTTTTAAGGGTTGTCTATTGACTTGACTCTTTCAGATGTGTGTTTCCTCCTCCTCCTCTCTCTCTCTCTCTCTCTCTCTCTCTCTCTCTCTCTCTCTCTCTCTCTCTCTCTCTCTCTCTCTCTC